GGGAGACACTATAGTGTGTATGTGTTTGTGTGCATGCATGCCAGTATGCAAAAAACTGTACAGTACACTAGTGTACAAAATAAGCAATATTTCATCTATATTTCCTTACTTTAATTCAATTTAAAGTATGTTTCTCACCAAGTTTGTGTAAATTCAGCTGTGGGTTTTAAAGACATTTTAACTTTAATACACTTCAGATCTGCACCATATGTGTTTACAGAGAAATAAAAACATCACCACTAGACTTTTTTACTTGTGTTCAACACTACTCATCTAAATGATGTTTCTCACAAAGCTTGAGGACAATAAGGTGTGGGGTTTTGAAGACATTTCAACTTTAATGCATCTTAACACACAGCGTCTCTTACACCTGCAGCGTCTTACAGCGTCACAGTTACTGCTAAGCTAACATGCTACAGACATAGCACTCTACTTCTCTCCTCCTAAAATGTACATACAGTATGTTTATGATCCTAACCCCCCGGTCAACAACTGCCTGAACTAAACTCGCTAAACTGGCGAGCGAGCAACACAGAGGTGTCTCCACACCCTCCACCTATGAGTGTTCTCTGACGAGGCAGGAGGAGACATAGAGGAGGAACACTGAGGGCTGATGGAGAGTTGGAGGTAACCAGGAAAACCTGGAGTGGGTTTTTAGAGATTTGAGTATTCTCCTATTAATCAGGTGGAACGGATTTGTTCATGAAGAAAGAAACAGCACAGAACTAATGTTTTATAGTAAAAGTGGGGAGGTCCAAATGAACGTTTTTTTAAATGTGTGTGTGTGTGTGTGTGTGGGGGGGGGGGGGCATCCCTTCACATATAATTGTTGCGACACCTATGAATGCCTCTATAGCATTGATTATGCCTCTGATAATGTTGAGCCATCTCATTATTGCCCATAGACCGTCTTACCAAACTGTCAAAACACTTTTTGTAGTCAACAAATGTACAGTAGACTGGCTTAGCTCAATATACTTTTCACAATATCCCTTTTCACGGCTGTGGCTGAGTGATTAGAGCAATTGTCTTCCAATGCAAGAGTTGGGGGTTCGATTCCACCAGCAGTCACATGCCGAAATGTCCCTGGGTAAGACACCGAACCCCTCATTGCCTCCGATGTGTGTCCCATCAGTGTATGAATTTGATAAATCTTTGATTAATCTTTTGTAGAGCTCTAGCAGAGTGCTGTATGAATGGGTAAATGAGGGCACAGATTGTGTTGTAAAGCACTTTGAGTATCTCAATAAGATAGAAAGACATTATCTAAGTACAGTCCATTTACCATTTACAAATCAGCCACAGCTCAAAGATCTGTTCTACTGTTGACTGACCTTTACTGAACGCTGTTTGTTCTTCTGCAAATAATGCCTCAGCTTGTGGTTGGAGACATTTCAGCTAGACCTACAGCAAAAAAATTAGCACCTCCTGAGGTTTCCCTTTTTAGATAAGGAAATGCAAATTCATCCCACGGTTGAAAATCCAGTTGATGTTTTGCAGTTCAGGTTGTGGAGGAAGACCAATGATTTCAATAATGGGATCAGGGGCTGCTGTGTCTAAGATTCCCAATCCCCACGAACTGAGCTGAATGTCATTTGGCTTGGCAGCCAGATTCTAGTGGCTGACTCACCTTCTGTACACACAATGAAAGAAAACATCTAGCTGAAGTTGAACCCTGTGTAGTTCTGCCTGAGGTATAACTAGCCCTGGTAACTGGCCTCTACCCTGTCTTGGCCTTACTGAGCATCCTGGTGTGTATCTGTTGCTTAACACAGTGGTTCACAACACAGGTTCCCGAGGAACACCATCCTACAAGTTTTAGTTATTTCCCTGTTCCAAAACATCTGATTCAGTGATTTCATTACTTGAGCCTTATCACCCATTCATTCAAATCAGGTGTGCCAAAGCAAAGTGCTGTGTGTGTGGAATAGGATGTGTAAATGAGGACACAGGTTGTGTTTAGAATGCTTTGAGTATCCTGACTGGATAGAAGCGGGCTCTGTAAGTCCAGTCCAGCAAGGTCAGGTCCAGTTTACACATTATTTGTCTCTGGAAGCGTTAAAGATTTTTCCGTGTTGATTGTAAAACATTACACGTATATACACCAGTGCTGTGATCGCAATAGCTGTGTAGGCAAGACGGCAAAAGACACTGAATCCACTGTAATTTTCATGTCAGGTCACAAGCTGGCACTGTGACTTTTGTTCTTCAACAAAATGTGCATGCAAGTGATCAATCTAAAAAAATAGCAAATGTAGAGCATTGATTGAAAACATCCATAGCATGCACGAGCGAACACTTGTTTTCAGGTAAATGGTGTTTTCTCATGAAAAACAGAGAAATGTTTACGCTGACGCTTGGGTTTAAAAAGTTTTGGTGTCAGAGAATCCAGTCACTGTTGTCATGTGGATGGATGGTCACAACACAACACCATCTCTGCAGATAGAAACTGAGAAGAGACCCTGCAACCAGTGGTTATCCCATGTCTCCAGTTAAATGTTTAGAATACATGTAACCTATCATGAAGTCCACATTGTTACACAACAAAAAGCATTTTTCATTTCTTCACTGTATTAAAAACCAGAAAGAATTGATTAAATAAACTTGTATAAGACTAACCTGATTATTGTTGTCCATGTGAGGTTTCTTGATGGCAACATAATGTCGTATTTTTCTGCAGGGAGAAGGAAAGAAATATGTCTGTCATTTCTGGTTTCTTGGAAAAACACAGCCCACTGGAGAGTTTCCACTGAGAGCTTACCCTCCTTGTCCGATGACGGGCATTATCTTCACCTGCTGCTGTAAGCTGTCACCAGACTTCTTTTTGGCAAAGTAAATGCCCTGCCATTCCTTCAGACACAACAAAGACTGAGGACTTGTTTTGCAGAACGGTCAGTTTGACGTGGACGCATGGATTCACGACTCACCTTTCCTTTTTTGATGCAGGTGTTGATCGTGTCCAGCAGGTCAGCTCGGTTCTTGTCACTTTTTGAAAGTTCTGTCAGTTCCTTCCCGATCAACTCCCCACTGTGGTAACCCATCATCCTCTCAAACGCTGGGTTCACATACTGAAAACATGTCAAAGATCAAAGGTTGGATTCATATATAGTCAATATTCTGTTCACTTTCTTTTAACAGTAATGATATTTATTATTCTACGGAACAAATTCATCAGTGGACTACCAGCTCCTTTCTAACTTTTCTTTGTTTAACATGGAAAATGCTGATGTTCCCCATCTCTGAAGGCTTTGGATATTGAATGCTTGTAGTTCTCAAGATGTGTTTTTCTGAAATGGAATCAAACAGGGAATGCAAAAAGACCTTAATGGTTTTTGTGCAAGATATCCAAGTGGGTAGAAGTTACACTGTGAAGAACAGAGATCGTTTATTTTCTTGTTCTGTTTGCTTCTCCGAGGCAGCGTACAGTGCAAGTGGAGTAAAAATTTTAATGCACGACCAGATGCAATGGTGGAGCCAGGGGGTGTCCAACGGAGGCCTTGTTTCCACAGATTAATCTTTATCCACTCTAGTCATTTGAAGAAAGTATATCTTTATGCATTATAAAAACTGGAAGGGATAGTTTCCTCAAACGATAGGTGACTGGTAGGCCTGTCATGACAATTCGCTGGGCAATTAATTCTCAAAAATTATTGCAATAAACGATAATATTGTTTGAAATTTGACAATAATTAGTAATTATTGTCAAATTTAAGAAGACATCTTTAATTTGTTTTGCGTGTAGTACCACTTTTTGACCACCGGATGACAGAATAAGACTGTTTGAACTGAAGGATGGATAGTGAGGGAGCGAGCAGCGTGTCTTTTTAAGAAAAATGGAAGGGAGGCTCCTTGACATGACATGAGCTGTCTCTCTTAGGTTCTCAAAATGGCGGACCCTCGGTGTGGTTGAGCTCTTTAGCATAGCATTTTTCACACAAATCTTTTAATTAAAAAATCCGTAAACAAGTTTTCAGCTTCTTTTTGCAGAGAAAAACAACTTTTTACACCAACGCACGAGTTTCAACCATGAATTTTGGAGCTTCGACAACACGGAGGTTTTTCTCCAAGGTTGGCCTGTTAGCTTAGCTTGTAGCTTAGCTTCTCAGTGTAGCTGCTTTTAACCGTCCAAAAACACGATTTTGGACGGTTAAAATGGATTTTAAAGAGAAAAGAGAAAGGGAGGGGTCAGTGAAGAGCATCGGAGTCATCCAGTGTCTTCAGTACAAAGAGAGACACGAAGAAACAATAAAGCCGATAAACGAAAATGAGGTTGATAATTTTCATTTATCATACGATTAATTGATTTATTGTTTATCGCGACAGGCCCAGTGATTGGTTTACATATAGTCATCCCCATCATATAGCCATCATCTTGAACAAGTTTTCTCATGCGCCTGACTGTACCCCTCATCCTGACCAAGTTTCTGTGCTCTGAATTTTCCTGTTTCACCTCGTCCCGGTCGGACGCCTGCCAAGCTTCTGATTTCTGGACATCAACATTTTTTCTGTTCCTCGACCTCCAAGTGTCGCCTGAACCTCAGATAATTAGTTTGAAGCCTGTCTCCGTGTGTATGACCCTTGCCTGTTCTCTGACTAACCCACTGAGTTCTGGAAGAATCCAAACTAAGTAACAACCCCACTCAGGACTCAGCTCTCACGTGACATCACTACTCTCTCCATCCATCCCAGTCCTCTACCTGGGGAAGTGAGTTTAACCACTGGATCAAGTCCCCCGATCTGAGCTCCAAAAGAAGTTTAGTGGTTTTTTTCCTCTGAACTCTGTTCAAACTTCCAGTCCTTCCACATCCATTAACTCATCCTCTTCCTCCTCAGATTTTCCAGTGTTTCCACAGACGTTTGCTGACTTCCACCAGTCTTTTCAAAATAAAATGTATTGAACTGTGTCTGGTTGAATTTTCAGGTCCTCCATTAAATTCCTTACAAGGAAAGAGAGTGGAAAATGTTTGTAGGAGAGTGGGAAAGGTTTATAAAGCCTTAATATATATCTAAATAATAAAATGAATAATGCCACTACTTTGCAGATTTTCACCTATCGCAGAGGTCTCTCGAACGTACCCCCCACGATAGGTGGGGGATCACTGTATTTGATGGTGGCCATCTTGGAATTTGAGTTGGCAACCCAATTTTAAAAAGGAAACTTTCTTTCATCTAGATGTAGCTACATGCTAAAATGGACATCAGTACCTCACTTTTTCTCAAGTTCTCATGCTCAAAACATGCACAGACGGATATTTTTCATTGATTCAACCTTTATTTATAGAGGTTAGTCTCAATGAGCCACGAGGACTCACTTACAAGAGAGACCTGGACATATAGAGGGTTTTTATGTTTGCTCTGCGATGGGGACAAAACTGAACAATACTTGGAGCTGTAACCTGCATTTGAATTCAAAAGTACTAAATATGTTCTGAAAATCTGCACAATAAAATATGCATATTTACGTAAGAGGCTTCTGCTTATGTTTAGTTATTGCCTGTCACCCTTTGAGATGTATTTTTCCTTTAGAGCAGGAAATGCTTATATATGGGCAAACAATTTAGTGATAATAGGACAAAGCAGACTGAATTAGAATTCACGCTTAGTTTTCTTAATATCTGATAAGTACAGAATAATTTCCAGCCTGTCATTTGTGATCAGACTGAACTTCCACAGTACAGTAATATCAGTTCTTCACAATCCCTGTCTGAAGCACAAGGCTCAGGTAACTTTAAATACCAAAACATTTGGGTGCATCTGTTCCTCTCAAACCCAGCCGGTCGAAGCAGATGGTTCTGCTAAAGGTTTCTTCCTCATGAGGGAGTTTTTCCTTTCCACTGTCGCCTTCACGCTTGCTCAAGATGAGAGTCTGCGATGAAAGCAGTCTGCTCCTCAGATAAATAATGTTACTGACTTGATGAATGTTTCTGCTCAGTGCCCGGAGATGACTTCTGTTGTGACTTGGTGCTTTATAAATAAACTGAATTGAATTAATTAATAAAACAAATGACAAACTGTTACTCAGCTTCTGTGCAGCAAAAAAATAAATAAACGTTCTGATATAATATAAAACTCTCTTTAATAGTACAGTTATAAATAATAATCAATGACGTGAACAAAAACCAGACAAGAGACAAAAGACTAGTTTGAATCAAAATTATATCTTCTCTTAAGAAGTTACATTTTAGCATCAGACTGACAGCTGCGTGGCATTGAAACCATCATCATCATCATCATCAATAATAATAATAATAATAAAAATAATAATAGTTGTGTAAGTGTTGCTTATCTCCTGGTTTACGCATTTTACAGCTCTTTTTTTAAGTAATTTGCCACAAACCTTGAAAGGAAACATGGCGGTGTGTACAAAGTGAATTGCTCAGGTTATTGGAATTTGTTCTCAACAATAAATACAGAACACAAACAATACAATACACGCTTTCACCTGCAGTGTGTGTGTGTGTGCCCACCTGAATGATGTGGTCCTCACTGGTGATCTCCACAGGTTCTTGGCAGTGCTCCAAAGCAGTGAAGACTGAGTTGCAGGCCCTGTGGGTGAGGGGTTCATCACAGAGGGCTAACGAGGACTGAGTGTCGTTCAGAGGGTTTTTGTTTGAATTTTATTTTTTGTACCTGAGTTTGAACTGGCAGCGCACCTCTCCATGCTCGATCTGTATGAGCTCGTTGTAACACGCTGACACGCTGCTGTTCTCCACAAACCTCTGCAGAGAGACAACGTAACGGGTCAGGATGGAGTCAACATCAGCATCCCTGAGGTCAATTTTACACATGGAACACAACAGAAAACCTGCTGCTAGCCGTCTAATGCTGAGTCAGCATTTACACTTTTGTTTTCCTGCTTTTTATTTTGCACACATTTTTATTTCTGCTCACTTTGTGCTATTTTAACTTCTCATATTGAAAAATATTCAGCTCCTTCAGGAGATGGGTGCTGAGGCTTCTGTAACTTTATTACTTGACAGACAATTTAACTTTAACAACTTGAACAATTTAATGAATGTGTGTTTCAGCGTCCATCGTGTGTGTGTGTGTGTGTGTGTGTGTGTGTGTGTGACAGATGCTGTCCTGCGAGTGGCTAGTTAGTCTTTTTCTACTCTTAGCTGATAGTTCACCCATTGGTAACTTTTACTTTTAGCTAATCTTTTACTAATAGTTCTTAGTCTGGATTTTGTTATTTTAAGTTTTAAGTATTTATTGAATGTTGTAGCTAGCCTTTTGCTACTTTTAGCTAGTTTTTGGCCACTTTTACCTATCATTTTGCCACATTAGTTTTTAGCTACAATTTTGCTTCGTTAAGATTTTAACCAGTGTTCAATCAGTGGTCATTCAGCAGTCATTCAAAAGTTACTCAGCAGCTACTCAGCAGTCATTCAGCAGTCATTCACCTGTCATTTGTCAGTCATTCAGCCGTCATTGAGCCATTATTCAACAGTCATACAGTGGCATTCAGTGACCATTTACCTGTCATACAGCTGTCATACAGCAGGTACTCTGCATTCATTCAGCTGTCATTCTGCATTCATTCAGCTGTCATTCTGCATTCATTCAGCTGTCATTCTGCATTCATTCAGCTGTCATTCATCAGTCATACATCAGGTATTCTGCATTCATTCAGCAGTCA